TTTGACGTGCGTCATTCCAGGACCATCGAGTCCAAAAACCGAAATTGATGTTTTATTAGTCCATCTGGGGCCCCACCTGGTTTACCATTCCAGCAGTCACAGGTGCCCTCATCCTTCCAGCTGACACAGGTGCCCTCATCCTTCTAGCAGACACAGGTGCCCTCATCCTTCCAACAGACACAGGTGCCATCCTTCCAGCAGACACAGGTGCCATCCTTCCAGCAGACACAGGTGCCCTCATCCTTCCAGCATAGTTTTCCATTTTCCACACAGATGCCCTCATTCGTGCAGCAGCCTGGAGGATCCAGCACCACACTTCCTACCCAGATGCCCCCATCCGTCCAGCAGCCTGGAGGATCCACCTCTTCACGACCCACACAGACTGGTCGCACCCCCACATCCCACACAGAGTCGGACGATGACGATCTTGGTGGGGATGATGATCAGATAGATGGGAGAGATCTTCGAGGGGATGATGATCCGAGTGAGATTCATACCATTGATGGGAGATTTTGGATATGGCCTGAAGGGAACTCGTAAGTTTCTTATTTATTGATTTTTTTATAAGTACACATTTCCATTTTTAATATAACTTTATATAATTAATTATGCTAATTCAATTATTGTTGTTTTAGTTTCGGGCCGAGTCGGACTGCTGCTAAGGTTATCAATTATATAATTCAGCAGAATTATACAACATTTTTGAAGAGTTTTAGAGAAGTTTCCGATAAAGAAGAATGGTTCAAGCAATTTCAGGTATAATTAATTTATTTCTTAAGTTATTTTTATTTAAATGACCTTTTCATTATTGTTATAATTTATCTAACTATTTATTTTAATGTCATACAATATTGCAGGCAAAATGTGTTTGGGATCCCCTGAACCATAACAAAGTAAAAAAAAATTATTTTGGGAGGAGTTCAAGAAGACTTTCTGACATGCTACGACGTGTTAGAGAGAATTGGCACCTTTTGGGCATTCGTCCCAAATGGATAGGCAAAGAAGTTTTTGAACAACTTCTTAAGTATTGGGAATCAGATGAATTTAAGGCTAAATCTGAAACTGCAAAGAAGATGAGGGCATCGGAAAAAGGGGGTTGCATTAATGCTGTTGGAAGCATTAGTACTGCTGAGCATGCTCGACGCATGGTAATTATTACCATTTTTTAAGGTCATATTTGGATTTATAACATATTATTAATTTAAGTTAATTTTTATATTTAGGCTAAGCGTTTGGGGAGACAACCATTGATGACTGAGCTGGTTAAGGAGACTCAGACAAAGAAATCGGGAGGATTTATTGACGAGCGCACAAAAAAAGCCCTGGTAATTAAGTAAATTTATGTTTATATTTTTTTAAGCAATTTTGTGACGTCATTTTCATGTAGCAAATGACATGTTGTGGCGTGAAAATTGAGTGGCAACTGATAAGTTGTGCCGTTACAATCACGTGGCTATTTATTTTTTATTATTTTTTTTATTTCATTTAATTTCATTAATGTTACTTATAAATTAAACTTGATTTTTTTATTGTATGTGTAGGAGGATTATCAGGCGTTGCTTGTAGAATTTCTGACCCATAATCCTCAGTATACGCCTCCTCCAGAAAAACCGGTTCACCCAGATGTGGATTTCTATATTTGGAGTCAAGTTGTTGGGGGAAAGGGGCCTAACGGGTGTTTTTTTGGTGGTGGAAATTTGGCGGGCACCTTGAGGAGTGGGGATAGAAATTTGTATCAGAGAACTGCAGACGGTGAAGGAGGGTCACGTCAAACAAATTTGACACCGGATCAGTTAGAACTGGTAAGACAATTGGCTAGACGCGAGTCCGAAGATCGTGAGGCGGCATTGAAGGCCCAAATGAATGCCCAAATGGATGCCCGAATGGAGGCAATGAGGGGTGAACATAATAGACAAATTGAGACAATGGCGAAGAGGCAAGTTGATATGGAGGAGTAAATGCGACAATTTATGCAAGCATTTGGTAGAAATCCCAACAGTGGTGGCCAAAATAATAACCACCAAAATAATGATGACTTTCTTCCCGACATTTCCGACGACGACTCTGTTTAATTTTATTTTTATTTTGTATTTAGTTTTTTATTTGTGTAATATAAATTTATAATGATATGGTATATTTAAAAATATTATAAATTTAAATTTCAGTTTATTAAATTTATAATATTAAGTATATTTATTTATACATTTAGATATATATTTAGTTTTGTTTTTGATAATTTGATTAATAATATTGTATTTAATAATTAAATTATAATATTTAATTTATAAATTTAATAAAACAAAAAATAATATTAATAATTAAAATATTTAAAACAGAAATTATTTTTTTTTAAAATAAAACAAGGTTGCGGCGTGTTTTTCATGTCACTAATTAGTGACGTGAAAAACACGTCGCTAAAGCTAACGTTACAAAAATTATAAGTCTGCTCTGACCCACTGCTCTGCTCTGAATTCTTTTACCCTATACAGTATGTTGCGGCGTAAATTTCACGTGACAACTTAGTGACATGTTTTTCACGCCGCAACAAGATTGCCACGCGCTATATAGCGACGTGTTCTTTAAGGTGGCAAAATTTGAGTAGTGACGTGTTTTGGTTGTTAGCGGCGTGGCTTTCACGTGGCAAAACTCAACTTATTTTGTAGTGGCTCTAATGCCAAGTTAGAGAACTTGTAATGTATATATTTAGTTATTTTACACTGATCAGAAACATACACATATATACAAGTGATCATTGTCAATCAAGATCCTAGAATCATGCTAGCTATGATGTCTCAATACTAATATAGAAACTAATAATGCTAGGTTATTAATAACTGCTAATTACAATTTGATTTTGTCATGGCAAGATCTAAGACATAAGGGATTATGTCTCTAACGAATCATGACAAAAATCATATTGATTGAGTAATAGAATAAGTTTGTAATAATCACTAGTAATGAAAACATAGTGAATGTTTGGCCTTCTCAATGTCCAAGATTTTGTTCCGCTATTTCTTTGTTTTGTGTTATGTGTTTAGTTTCCCATCATCACCAGTTAGGTGTAAATTAGCCGTTGTTATGCCACCTAAAATGCTACTTGCTGAAATGAGAATAAATGATGATTGGGGAATAAGCCTACTAATGTATATTAATATGCCATCTGAAATACTACTTGCTGAAATCAGAATACATGATGATTGGGGAAGAAGCCTACTAATATCTATTAATATGTTTGTATTTCTATTTCTAATATAAAACAAACGAAGTGGCTCAGATGGTAAGAAGCTTGCCCTATAATTTTTTTAACTAAAAAAATATTACACTTTGGTCTCTTAAATTAGTTTCGTTAGCATTATTGATCTCTTCCATTAATTTTTCTAAAAAAACCGTTAACTATTGCCAATGTGACGTGACAAATATGAAATTGGCACAATAATGAGTTATCAAATTTATTTAAAAAAATGATATTTTATTTAAACTTGAGAGTTTTGTTTTAGGGAATTAAAATTTAAAAACCCCCACAATTTATTAATAGTGTGTAAAAAATATGACAATTTTTCTCCTTACATTAGAAATAGAATCACGGTGAATGCTTCTCACTAATTCATTACAAGTTCTATTTGCAGTTTTCCATAAATTATTTTCAATCCAATCACAAATTTTCAACCAAAAACACAGTGAATCCAAAAGATCAAAAGAGGTAAGAATCATTAAACAAAGAGGATTTTAGAAGAAAAAGACCAAACGTTATTAGTAGAAATGTAAAGGAAATTATAGATCTAAACCTCAAACGGTCTGCATGTCTATTTTTTCAGATTCAAATAAAAAACAATAAACAAAGTACAAGAATCACAATCAGAAGAAACAAGATCTAACTTAAATCTCTAAAACCCTAAACCCAATAAAAATCAACTAAAACACTCAAGAATAAAAAACAAATTTCCAAAAAAAGCTAAAAACCTTAGTCTTCAGTGAAGAAGGCGATGATGATGAACTCTTCTTCTCCTTCTCGTTGTCTGAATCCAACGGCGATAAATCACGTTGCACTGGATCTGAATATGGAGAAGAAATAAGGAAGACTTTAATTTTAAATGAAGGATGCAGAGATATCAATGGTTACCCATTGTTATAAGAGTGTGCTATGATTGATGTGTTATTGTTACATTTTCAAGTGGAAAATAGTTGCGATTTGTACAAAAATTTTGTCAAATTACCCACCGCCGTAAAACGGTCGGATAAGCCATAAATTATGTCTGTTATCTATCAGTTAAATAGATTGTAGGTAGAAATTAAAAAGAGAAAAATTATCTTTTATTGTCGATATCAGTGTTGCAATACTCTTTTCGTTTCGATTTAGTCATGCACGCTTCATAACTTTGTATCTCAAATTCTTATTATGATTTTCCTGTTCATAATTTATAAAAGAGAAATTAACACGGGTTAGTTACAACAGAAGTACAATAGTTTTCTATCAGCCCTATAAAAATTCATATCATTATATCTCAGTTCTCAAAATAGTGAGGAAAACAATTGTTTAAAAGGAATCAATAGAATAAGCTTTATATTAGTACTTGAAGGAGAACTATACCAATTAAAGGTGAAATTTCTTGATTTTTCGGTGGCCAATTTATCAGCTATAGAATTGCTCACTGGTTCATCCCATTTATCTTGCAACTTTTCAACTTGTTCAAGAAGAGCTTCTTAATAACTCGTTGATGAAACCGTTTAAATCCATTAATATAACTTTTCTTGTTGTCCCTCGCAGCATTCCCAGCCAATTCCAAAACCCAAATCACACAGTTGAAAATTAGATGATCCGATTATCAAGTTCATCAACAAAAAACCTAAAATTCAAAACAAAAATCAATTAAGTTTCGTAAAATTAAATCAAAGAGAATCTTACCTCATCTGCGAGATATTCGTGAATGACAGAGAGGTAGACATGAGCACCGACACCAACACGTTCAGCGTATTTTCCAGCCTTCAAGAATCTTGCAATTCTACCGACAGGGAATTGAAGACCGGCTTAAGACGACCTTGAAACAGATTTGGAGGCCTTTGGTTTGCCCTTTCCGCCCTTGGGTTTGCAAAAGCCCTACAAAATTAAAGAAGGAAACATAAACAACATTCGGGTTTGTAAAATAAGAGGAAGGAGGAAGAAGAGAGAGATCGGTGGTGAGAAGAGAAAGAGAAAGTGAAAGGGTGGAAAAAATATTTGCATAGAATAATGAAGGATTGAGAGAGAGAGAGATAAAAGATGGATGAAATGATGTAGAAACCATAACCGTTTAAAATGACATTGGGAAGGAGAAAAGTTGAAATGGAAACAAATAAAACAGTTAATAATCGAACAAAATAATGATGATTAGGGTAATATTTTTGGGAGCCAACAAAATTTTCAGCCCATTAATCCTAAATGCAAAGATAAGTTGTCATTAGACCAAATGCAAAAAGGTAATTTTTGGCTATTTAAAAAGTGAAAAATAAAAGATAAATTGTGATTGGACCAAATGAAAAAAAAGGGTATTGATCTAGGTTGGATCGATGCTTGCCCTATCATTCGGAAGGTCCAATCTAACACTTTTGTAAAAGGCCTAAATACAAGCAGCCCAAGTTAGGGACCATTGGACAACTCCTCACGTATCCGTTGAGGAGCGTAGCCCACGTGTCCATATCACCATCATCATCCTGCCCTCCGGGAATAACAGATATAGCTCCTGCTTCCTCGGAGAAGTTGACCAGGGGGAGGCCACATGCTGGACTCCATACACATGTAAGCCATAACATTCTTCAATATTGAGCCTCATCATGGCTCAATATTGGAGACCTTGACTCAGTGTTATGGGCTATAAATACCCTCTCACTTGATAGGGCCAGGTATTGAATCATTCACTCTCATGCTCACTTACTTGCATTAAGCTCTGAACCTCACTTTGGCATCGGAGTGTCTTGCAGGCACCCCCCCCCCCCACTTCACCTTCAGTTGATGCTCAACTCGAAGCTCGTGGACTTTAACAATCCATTCTGGTCAGGTACGATCAGTGGCGCCGTCTGTGGGAAACCAGCTTCCCCGTCTTTCATTTACCTAAGACTAAAGCAACTATCAAACTCTGTGATTGTCATGGTCGACCCAGCTGCAAACAACAACCTAAACGCCCACCTTGCCGACCTCAACAATAATGTCAGCGACGACATTGGTAACAACAACACCGTAAACGAAATTGGAATGGTCGATCTCGAGCAAAAATATAGAGACGACATGACCTGCTCTTCATCATCTTATTCTCATCCTCACGAGGATACACATCCACCAAATGTTTTCCAGGAGGTCCCCATTCCAGCGGGTGCTGATGCCACGACCAAGGCTTTGTTCGCGGCCATCAACCAAACAAACTGCTTAATCTTCTCACAAGGTAAGCGACTAAGGGTGCTCGAGGAGACTCGCCGAGCCCCCAGAAGGAACAGAAGACCTGTCACACCACCTCCCCGTCAGAATGAAGACTGTATTCAATCTCCCCCATGGAGACACAGACGAGACAGATCACGGAGCCAATCTCCCTGACGAAATGGACGAGGCCCCGCATTGGAGAGGATACTTTCCGAAGCCACGGGGAGACGCAAACACACACCCCCTCGCGGGGAACGATGATCCTCTGTAAACATAAACATGGGGAACGAAGGAGTATAACCTCGGCCAAGAGATCATCCACGTGACCAAGACCACCATCACGATCAACATTATAACTGGTCCTCATCCCACTCTCTGTACAGGAGCGACGAAGACGACCCCACGGTCTCTTATCCCAAGCGATCATGGAGGCACATATTCATAGGAGAATGGAGAAACCTCCCCAACTGGAAGAGTATGACGACATTGAGGATCCAGTCGACCACATCGACGAGTTCGAGGAAATGCTCCATTACCATAACATCGGAGGACCAAGCAAATTCCAGTTCTTCCCCTCGACATTGAGAAAGACTTCCATGGACTGGTACAAGAACCTCTCCCCAGGATCGATCGCCTCCTGGAGAAACCTGAAGAACCAATTCATCAGCTCCTTTACAGCGTCTCGTCGACATCCGAAGACTGAGGTCACCCTTGAAGCTATCATCCAAAAAATTAACGAAACCCTCAAGGAGTATATTGATCGGTTCAACCGCGAGGCCATCCAGGTCCCGTGTACCGACCACATGAAAAGATACCTGCTCGAGAGAGGACTCCTCCCAAGCACCAAGTTCAGAAAGGCTGTCGGCATCGAACCACCCTGGACTTTCGATGCCCTCCTCGAAAAATCTAGGGCCTACATGGACTACGAAGAGAGGGAAGCAGCCAATAAAGCCCACGACCCGAGGAATCACAAGCTGACCAACACCTATGCGACATCAGGACGCATGCCCTTCTCGATGAACAAGCGAGAGGAGAAGGTATGACAAACCGCGTGATCCCCACGAGCATAGGGGACCGGCAGGGCGATTCACCAAATACACCCCACTGACTGCTTCCCACGAGAGCATCCAGGCAGAGTGCTCTAACACCAACTTCAAGGACGGCGACGTCAGAGGTCCTCGATCTGCTCATGTGAAGCCTGGGGATGACAGAACAAAATATTATCAGTACCACCAGAGTCACAGGCACCTGACCAAAGACTGTGTCCACCTCAAGGGCGCCATCGAGACCCTCATTAAGGGTGGCAGGCTCGGGCAGTACCGATGCAATGATGTCCCTTGTCGAGACACCTGTGAGGTGAAAGAAGCCGAGGAGGAAACCCGACCATCAGATGGGTTGGGCCCAGTCCATATAGCTTTCTCCGTGACACGGACGGAGGACTTCTACATCCTCGAAAGCTACGAGAACGAGCCTTTGTCTATGCAAAGCATATGGGAGAAGTTCCCCTCCACCATGGTCATAACTGGCTGGGGATTTAATGACCTCTCCGTAAACTCAGCGAAGAGGAAGCTCGACGAGTTAGTCGATACAGCCCCGACTCGAGCGAAGACACTTGAGAGGTTCAAGGGCAAATCGGAACCAATCACTTTCTACCTTGAGGAGCTTCCCGGAGGGGACCCTAACTCAAGCATCCCTCTGCTGGTAAGGAAAGAATGGCTAATTTTGACGTGCACCACATTTTGGTCGACGAGGGGAGTTTCATTGATGTCATGTACAACCATCTGTTCTGAACCCTACATATCGATGACACACACCTTTCACCATACATGGGGTCTGACCTACATGGATTCAACGGCTCAACCTCTAAGACATGGGGCTACGTCGAGATTTTTGTCACCTTCAGGGAAGAAACTGCCTCCCGACAGATCAAGATGCGATTTCTTGTTATCGACTTCTCGTCTCTCTACAAACTGCATATTAGGGAGACTGACACTGGCCGAGTTGACCGTTGTGCCCTCCATTGTCAATCTGAAGATGAAATTCTACACAAGGAGGGGACGCGTCACCACCATTCACGGGGACATCTCAGCTTCCAGAAGATGTTTCCACGCGGCTTCCAAAGGATAGAGTATGGCCGACACTGGGGCGCAACCTGTCAAAAGAGCTGCTATTGCTCGACCTGAACCATAACCTGCTCTGGAAGAAGAACAAAGGGCTCTGCTAAAGGTCAATTCCATCTCTCTTGACACCCGCTTCGACAAGGATAAAGCCCCCAACGGAAAACTGGAACCCCTCCGACCAATCCCAGATGGAGACTTCGAGTTTGTCCCCCTCGATGAAGACCCCTCACAAAGGCGTGAAGATCGCCATCAGACTCCCTGACTTGGCGAGGAAGCAGATCAAAGCTTGCTTGAGGGAGAATGCAAACATGTTCGCATGGAGAGCCACGGAGATGCCCGGACTCGACCCCGAGGTTGCCTGTCACCAACTGTCCATTGATCCAGCCGCTAGGGCAATAGTGCAACGTAAACGTACGCAGTCTCTTGAGAAAGCAAAGGCTGCTAAAAATGTTGTAAAAGACCTCCTAGAGGCTAATTTTATTTCTGAGGCCCGATATTCAACCTGGATCTCAAACGTTGTACTAGTTAAAAAGAATAATGGAAATGGAGAATGTGTGTTGATTATATTGATCTTAATCAGACATGTCCCAAAGATGCTTTTCCTTTACCGAACATTGATATACTGGTCGACAACTCGTCCGACTATAAAAATTTATCGTTTATGGACGCTTACTCGGGCTATAACCAAATCCTAATGGAGATGAGTGATAAGCGTTGCACTGCTTTCATGACCAGCTCGAGCAAATACTACTAAAACATGATGCCCTTCGGCATAAAAAATGCAAGGGCACTAGCAGATGATGAACAAAGTGTTTCGTGACGAGATCAGTGATATGCTCGAGGTATACATGGATGACATGATCATCAAATATCAAAATAGATACTGACCATGTTGCCCACCTCAAAAGGGTCTTTGCCTAAGAGAGACAATGTAGAATGAGATTCAACCTCGAGAAATGCACCTTCCGGGTTAAGGCGGGAAAATTCCTCGGTTTCTATCAGACTGAATGGGTAACTGAAGCAAACCCTAATAAGTATCGGGCATTCTTCGAGCTTCCTACGCCTAGCTTGAAAAAATCCATACAAGTCATAAATGGCAGGCTCACCTCACTCTCCTGTTTCGTGGCAGCTTTCGAGTGGACCGAGGAATGCGAGCAAACCCTCCTCCACCTCAAGAAAAGCATGTCGCAGCCGCCCGTGCTGTCACGACCTGAGAATGGGGAAATCTTGTTCCTTTACTTGGTTGTCTCTACTGAGGCCATAAACGCGACCCTCGTTCGTGAGACTCCAAACGGGCAAAAACCAATGTATTTTACGAGCAGAGCGCTACAAGGGCCCGAGGTTAGGTATCAACAAATTAAAAAAGTGGCCTTGTCACTCATCAACACGGCGAGGAGACATAGACATTACTTCCTGGAACACACAATCCTCGTACCAACAAACCAACCCGTAAGATAGCTCATATACCGACCATACATGGCCGGTCGAATGCTCAAATGGTCCTTGGAGCTCTCGGAGTTCGACATCTAGTACGAGAGCAGGAAGGCCCTCAAAGCCCAAGCGCTTGTCGACTTCGTCGCAAAGATGACCACTCACAATCCCCCCACAGGGAAGAAGCACCAATGGACCGTCTTTGTAGACGGAGCTTCCAGCTCGACAAGGAGCGAAGCAGGAATCCTCCTCGAGAACGAGGAAGGTGTCATAATCGAACACTCCCTCACCCTTTCTTTTTTGACGTCGAACAATCAGGCTGAATACGAGGCCCTGCTCGTAG